AAAAAAACCTCCAAGTTCAAATGCAATGAAGTTTCAGTGTCTGTCTTCAGTCTCCAAATCCTGGAGATGGTGCCTCAGATGTTTTTCTGTAGTTGTCTCACCAAAAGGGATGCATAAAGTAGAACAAAAAATGCACAAAAAAAAACAAAAACAAAAAAAACCCACAGTGTCCAAATTTCAAATGCAATACCGTTTCAGTAAGTTTTTCACATGCAGGTGTAGTTCAGTTGTTTTCTCATCAAAGGTAGGGAGAGAGAAAAAAAAAAACTGTCTGGAGACAGTTCTGTGAATGGTATCTGCGGGCTATGGCTTGCCTGCCTTGCTGCTGTTCAGCCTGCTGTTGCTGAAGGGGTTATTTATGCAGATCTCAGGAGTGAGCCTAACACTCACCTGGCCCTGCAGGCTTTGTTTATTCAGAGTTCTCCTGTGTGCGAGCCTATGCTACAAGCTTTCCCCTTTCCAAGCACACAGGAGGAGGTGACACTGCACCTGCTTTCTCAGGCCTGTGTGTTTGTTTACAGCTCACGTGGGAAGTGGGTCTTCCCCCTTCTCCTGTGGAGTTTTCCTCCCACCGCCACTTTTACAAGCTTTCCCACTCCTGATTACTGGGCAATGCTGCTGCTCCTGCCGGCCGGCATGTTTGTTTACAGGTCACATGGGAGGTGGGTCTTCCCCTCTCTCCTGTAGAGTTTTCCTCCCTCCACCACTCTCACAAGCTTTCCCTCTCCTGCTTGCTGGGTGTGCCCCTGCTCAGAGCCTCTCCGGCCAGCCTGGCTTGTTTATTTACAGTTCTGGGAAGGATTCCCTTCCCCCCCATCTTCGGCACTCAGTGTGCCCCACCCTCTTTCCCACGTGTCCTTATTGTTCTTATTGCTTATTACTCAATTTCTCTCTTGTCCCCGGGTGGGGGCCGGTCTGTCCAGGGGGCTATGCTGCTCCAGCCCAGGGTTGTCTGTGGGATTACCATGGTACCGCTAAGCTCACCTTGTCTGCATCTTCCCAAGCCATCTGGGCGCAGGCGACTGGCAGCCCAGGGGCCCTCCTGGTTTCTCCATTTAACGTGAAGTGGACATGCTCTGTGCCGGCTGGAGGTGTGGAGGGGTCAAAGTTTTGCCTCTTCCTCGGTGGTTTTGCCTGCAAGGTGTGTCTCCAGCGTCTCTCCAAGATTTCACTATAGGAGACATGCTTTCTGCTTCCTCCCTCTAGCCGCTGTCATCTTGGAATCTGTCCAAATGTGTATTTTGTTTTTTGGCTCTTTTTGGTGAGACTAGCATTTGAACTCAGGGTCTCCAACTTGCAAAGTAGGTGCTCTATTGCTTGAACCAGTCCATTGTGCTTCTGTTAATTTTGGAGATGGAGTCACACAAACTATTTTCCCCCTCTGGCTTTGAATCTTGGTCTTCCCAATCTCAGCCTCCCCAGTACTAGGATTACAGGGATGAGCCACCAGCATCCAGCTTGAAACAGATATGTTTTTAACATTTAACATCAACCCTTAGCAGAAATAGAAAATGCCAGACCTTCATATAGTGACCTCTTTTCTCTGATTGGGAAGTACTGAGTTGGACTTAAGAACCAACCATAGATGTAGTTACTGTTTCCATACAGCATGAAACAAATGAAACCAAATAAAATCTGACTTGAAGCAAAAATCTAAATTTAAAAACATCAAACTTTTAAAAATATTATATATTATTGTTTACTGAAACTATTTTATAGAGTTTACACACTGAAAAATTTCTTCCTTCAGATCGTTAACTTACTTTTGTGTACATCTAGCATGAAACCATGAAAGTGAACCCGTTTTTTCCTCTTCATTTCCACATAGGCATAAAACATGTCCATCACCATTGTCTTCCCTGTACCTTAAAAATAAAAAAAGGTTAAAGAATACTATTGAACAGCATGTACTGATTGCTCATTAGCCTTGATGTAAAGAAACCATACTCTTCTATTAGAAAGCTGAGGAATTATATCACTTAGCCAGGAGCCAGTGGCTTACACCTGAAATCCTAGCTACTTGGGAGGCTGAGAGCAGGAAGATCGAAGTTCAAGGCTAACCCAGGCAAAGAGTTCTCAGACCCCATTGCCAGAATAATCAGAGCAAGAACTGGAGGTGTGGCTTAAGCAGTAGAGCCCCTGCTTTGCAAGACCTGAGTTCAAACTCCAGTCCCACCAAAAAAAAAAAAAAAAAAAAAAAAAGAATTGTTACTTTTTTAGAAAGGGATGTTTACTTTGCATTTTAAACTGGCTTAAAAGAAAATTAATCTTATTCTTTTCTGTTAGAATCGTATTTTTAGGAAATACACTTAGTTAACGTTGCAAGGGCTGCTTTCTCCAGAGAACTGTGTCCATAAACTGGTAAAAGTTACATTATCTTCAGCCTTCCCTTCCAAAGACACTAGTATAAATAACATAATTAATTAATTATTGTGTTGTTACTCTGTTTTAGAAGCTGTTTTAAGCATTGTGAAAAAATTCAGAAGTGAAACATAAGAAAATTAAGAGAAAGTGAAAGATTAATAGCTAACATAAATATTGAAAAATGTAGATTAGAGCTGGAGAATGGTCAATTATAACATTTTCCCTAAAGCTGAGAATACAGGTCCTTCAAAATGAGGACTACTTAAGAAATCTGACGTAGTCACTCCTTAAATTACCTAGTTTTCAACACTCTGAAACTTTTAGTTGCTATAATTGTGAACAGTCAACAGCCTGAGTACTTAACACAGGCAGGTACAAAAGTCTTATTCCTTTGCAGAAAGCCCAGCACTTTGGGAACAGTGGCAGTGCCCAAGTCAGTTCATACCCCAGTGTCCTTCAGCAGGCCAGCAGGCCAGGCCTTCACATACCATACTAGTCCCATTTTCTATTGCCCTACTGCCTTCCTCCTCCCCCACCCTTTCCTATCAGGAGCTGAAGCTCAGGAAGTAAGATCTGAGCCTCATCCTTTGGACTTTCTTGAATTCCATAAGATGACTCCAAGCCCATGCCAGCTGATTGCCAGAATGTCTTTTGTATGTGAAAATACAATTCTCAAACTTTTTTTTTTTTTTTTTTTTTGTGGCACTGGAGTTTAAACTCTTGCTAGGCAGGCATTCTACCACTTGAATCATTCCATCAGCTCTGTTTTGTGTTGGGTATTTGCAAGAGAGGGTCTCTGAACTATTTGCCCAGGTTGGCTTCAAACCTCAATCCTCCTGATCCCTGCCTCCTGCGTAGCTAGGATTACAGACGTGAGTCATAGGAGCCCAGCTCACAAACAGATTTTTAATGAACAGGTCACTTAAATTAAAAAGTAATTCTTGGCAAAATTTTCAAAAATTCTTTGCAAAATATTTTGCTGAGTGGCAGCAGATTTTAAATCACCACAGTTACCAAAAAAGTAAATTAATAAACTCAAATTCTACTGTATGCAGCATGAGATACATGTGGATCCAGAAAAAGTCCTGCTGGGCTCTGGTGAGTTCATCACAACGAAGGACTGGTGGAATGACTCAAGGTGTAGGCCCTGAATTCAAACCCCGGTACTGCAATAAATAAATAAATAGCCCTGTATTAGTTAACCAAAATGTGAATAGTATATATTAGAACTTAATATTTGTACTCTCTTTAAAATGGGCCTAAAATGTACCAAGGTCATCATATTTCTAGAAAGAAAAGCAAGAGGAAAAAATTGGTGGCCCTGGGCCTATAGGTTGGTGGCACATGCTTAGAAAGCATAAGGGTGTGGGTTCAATTCTAGTACTGCCTGCCACCAAAAAAAAGGAAAAAACTATGCTAGGCATAGTGGCATATGCCTGAAATCCCAGCCTTTGGGAGGAAAGGTTGAGGCAGGAGGATCTTGAGTTCAAGGCTAGCCTGGGCTACATAATATAAATAAAATAAATAAATAAATAAATAAGAAATAAAGAGAAAGATAATTAGGCTACATGAAATTTAACCTTTTGAATTTTAAAACCACATAAAAATCCTTATTTATTTAATCAATAAATAAATTCATTTTTACTGAATGTCTACAATGTGTAAGATAATATTTGAGACACTTAGGATAAAATAGTGAACAAAACTGATAAAAACCCTGCCCTCATGGGAAAGATAACCTTATATATGTCTTCAAAATAGAAAGGGCTCTTAGAAACTGCAACAGACATCTTGTTTTGTCTTTTCCTGATTTTTTTCAGGTTTTTTACACTGTCCTAAATCTCTTCCTTCTGAAAACTGCCGCTTTTCTGCTTGATGTGATTCTGAGCATGTCAATCACAGGGTAGGACCCATGTGGTTGGTGCAATTGTGGGCATGTGACCCAATTAAGTCAACACTGTCTAGGGGCATTAATTTGGATTCTGAGGAGGATCCTGCTTCCAGCCTTTCAAGAAAGCAAGCTATACCATCATTAGCAACACCACCAACAACAAGTGTTGGTGAGGATACAGGGGGAGAAAGGAACCCTCTTACACTGTTGGTGGGAATGTAAACTAGTACAACCACTCTGGAAAAAAATTTGGAGGCTACTTAAAAAGCTAAACATTGATCTACCATTTGATCCAGCAATACCACTCTTGGGGATATACCCAAAAGGCTGTGACACAGGTTACTCCAGAGGCACCTGCACACCCATGTTTATTGCGGCACTATTCACAATAGCCAAGTTATGGAAACAGCCAAGATGCCCCACTACCAACGAATGGATCAAGAAAATGTGGTATCTATACACAATGGAATTTTATGCAGCCATGAAGAAGAACGAAATGTTATCATTCGCTGGTAAATGGATGGAATTGGAGAACATCATTCTGAGTGAGGTTAGCCTGGCCCAAAAGACCAAAAATCATATGTTCTCCCTCATATACAGACATTAGATCAAGGGCAAACACAACAAGGGGATTGGACTTTGAGCACATGATAAAAGCGAGCGCACAGAAGGGAGGGGTGAGGATAGGTAAGACACCTAAAAAATTAACTAGCATTTGTTGCCCTCAACGCAGAGAAACTAAAGCAGATACCTTAAAAGCAACTGAGGCCAATAGGGGAAGGGGGACCAGGAACTAGAGAAAAGGTTAGATAAAGAAGAATTTAACCTAGAAGGTAACACACATGCACAGGAAATTAATGTGAGTCAACTCCCTGTATAGCTATCCTTATCTCAACTAGCAAAAACCCTTGGTCCTTCCTATTATTGCTTATACTCTCTCTTCAACAAAATTATTGATAAGGGCAAAATGGTTTCTGCCAGGTATCCAGGGGGTGGTGAGAAGAGGGAGGGGGCGGAATGGGTCGTAAGGGAGGGGGTGGGGGCAGGGGGGAGAAATGACCCAAGCATTATATGCACATTTGAATAATAAAACAATAAAAATAAATAAATAAATAAAATTTTCAGCTGCAAAAAAAAAAAAAAAAGAATGAAGCCAACAATAAGGAAAATGGAACCAAAAAATGATAAAGAAAGGGAAGGGATTTGAACAAATCAAGCTGCCATGCAAGTCATCCCTGCCAAAATCAAATTCAACATGCTTTAAAGATGGTGACAGTGTAGACCCTCACCTGTTAAAATCGACCATCTCAAGTATATCATCAAATGTGAGAGAAAAGCAGAAAACCCAGTCTACATAGCCAGTAAAAATGGCTTTCAAAAAGAAAGAAATGGAGATATTTTGAGAAAAACAAAGGTTAAAAGAATTAGTTACCAGCAGACCTCTGTAACAAAAATGTTGAAAAAAGTAATTTATGGTGAAAAATGATAACTGATGAAAATAGATCTACACAAAAAATGAATAATGAAGGAAATGATAAATATTTCTTTCGATAACAATTGTTTAAAACAATAAGCTACATAGAAGTATTATAGGGTTAAAAATCTACCTAGAAGGATAGTATACGATAATGACACAAATATTATTATTGTTAGGTAGATGAGAGAAACAGAAGAATACTATTTTTATTAGCACATATTAATTGCACAAAATGAGGTGTTTCATTGTGATAAAAGAACACTATTATAAAGTTCTACGTAACACAAGTTAAAAGAAGACTGTAATTTAATAAAATGCATTTTTAAACATTAGAGGAACCATTAAAAAAATAAAACAACAAAATGTAAATAATAAAGATACAAAAACAAGTCAATCATGTAAACTAGAAGATACAATTTTTTTAAACTAAGAACAAAAAAGATAAGAAAAACAGAATACAAATAAAAGATCATATTAATAAGTTCAAATGGATCAAACAATCCAGCAAAAAGGCTAAGACAAATGGATAAAAAGCAAAAACTAACCATATTCTCTCTAGAAAACACTCATCTATATAGGCTGAAGCAATAAAATTTTAAAAAGATATGTGCTGCAGATACTCATCAAAAGAAAGCTAGGGTAGTTACATTAATAGTGAACAAACTAGACTGAAGGAAAAGGAATATTGCTAAAGGTAAAGAAAGATATTTCATAATAATAGGAGGATTAACTCATCAAGAAGATACAATGCTAGTTAGGCATGGTGGTGCACACCCGTAAACCCAGTATTTGGACACTGAGACAGAAGGATTGTGAGTTTGAAGTCAGCTGAGCTACACAGTGAGAGCCTATGTGAAAAAATGAAAAAGAGAAAAAGATACAACAATCCTAAATATGTATGTGCCCTCTTAAAGAACCTCAAAGTATATTAAGCAAAACTAATAAAAATGAAATAGAAATAAACTGATCTGCAATTAAAGTTGGAGACATCAACAGTCTTTTTTTTTTTAACACTCCTTTCTTGGTAGTAGAAATAAATAAACAGAAAAGCAGTAAGTGTAGATATAAGATTTCCATAACACTGTCAACCAACTTGACATAATTGACATTTATAGAACATTACACACAGCAAT